CCCCAAAACCCCAAAACCCCAAAACCCCATGCGATTAAATGGCAATAATATGAAATTGAATGAGAATATTTTAAGCAAATTTAACTATTACTTCATTAGAACATAAGATTATTTCAATTATCACTATTAATACACCGAGAAGAGAGATTTGAAGTCAATCAAATTTAAGTAGTGAGCCTAGCTATTGGCCTAGTTTGTCATTATTTTGTCTAACCTCATCATGTTGTTTTCTGACCTTTTCAAAGTGATCAAAACCTTGTTTGTTAAAGCCATTAACCTCCTTTAGAATATGCTGCATTTAAAAGTCCTTGCTCTGATTAGAGTAAGTCATTTACTAATGAATTACTGAGGGGTTAGGTTGCTAATTCACATTATAAATGTTCTATTGAGGAAGGTTAGATTAATACAGATTAGCAGGGTTGTAGTAGCCTTGATTGGTATTGAAAGGAGGAGGAATCTATTACTGCTGCTACATGATTGGTTGTTAGTTAAAGTTATTGTTTGTATTGTACATCATCATTGGATTTATTTGGCTTTGACGATTCGGAGTATGAATCATTTAGTGTTGTGTAGTATATTAATGTTAAGAATGCTACTATTAGATGAAACTATTATTAGTCATGAAATTCATGCCAGGATTGTATTGCTGCTATTGTATAGGGACATTTCCTGTGATGAATGAGTAGGGTTCTGGATTGAATTTCTTATTTTGATCTTAATTTTGATTCGCTTAAGATTTGGGTGGCTCGTCTAAGCATAGTAAATCACCAACATCAGCAAAAGATTACTTTCTGATGTTTTGGGGTTAGCCAGGGTTCGAAGCATCATTGAGTTGGAAAAAGTCTTCGAACGGCAATAAAGTTGATGTTGATCTTTGCACATTGGCGTGATTACTATGTTGCTAAGTGAAATTGTTGTTGTTGTTTTTTGAGTAATTTGCATTAGTATTAAGGCTATTGGCACTGGTCGAAGTAGAAGGAGTTTATTCGCAGTTTGTCCTGAACTCAAAAAAATCTTAGACATGACTTTGTTTCTCGCTTGACTTGACCAAATCTTTATTGGTTTGGACGGTGGTATTGTTAATTTGAGTGTCGAAATTGCCATTGATCAAATAGCTTGAGTTTTGAGGGAGTTGATCACTAATTGATGAAACTCTATTCATCACAAGATTTGGATCCGATGAGTTTTAATTAGAACAAGTGAAAGTATTTGAGAAATTCAGAAAGTCAAACTCCTGTTGCTGATTTGCTCCTGTAATTGAGCTTCTGTTCTGGAAATCGAAATCACATGTATCATTAGATAAGTTAGGAGATAAGAATGTATTATTCTCGGGCATCTTGATTGGAGTTTAGATTTGGGAAAGATGATTTTGAGGTTATGTCTATGGACTAGAGGAGCTGCGATTTTACTCAGAATTATCACTTTGAGGAGCAGCTGACTATTTCTCATTTTCTGATTTCTGCTCAGTCGGTCTATCGATCTTCACACTGTACACTATAAAAATTTGTTAATTTTCCAGTAGGATATTACATCCAGCAACAGACTTGAGAACGTGAAATTCTCTGTTTTCTATCAGTAGTTCGTACTGCTTAAACATTGATCCTTTTTTCGTGTGCTTGCTAATTTGCAACTTCAAAGGATCTTTTTGGACAGTATATGGTTCAATGGCAAAGTTATTTCTAAACATAAATTATTAACACCCTTCTGGCTATATTTTCCCTTACATCTTGGTCTTGAAGAGGACGACATTGTCGTTCAAAGTAATCGTTCTCTTGCCAGAGTTCAAGCTGTCTAAAAACTAGATTCGATATTTCTGATGCATCTCCGGCTAGTCAGGTTTCTAAATACTTGCCTCGAATGTCCATGAATAGCACTTTTTGGACCTAGAGAATTATAATGACGAATGAAATACCAGTTGAGGCGTTTGCCCACGTTTTGACTCTCGAAAAAGAAGTTTCTAAGTTCGATCTGCATAGCGATGTTAAGTGAAATTATGCTTTGTTAAGTAGAGTAATTTGTTTATTCTATTATTTATAATTCAAAATCTAACAATCTTATTTGCTCTAAATTTCGCCATCTGGGGTTTTGGGGTTTTGGGGTTTTGGGGAGATCGGAAGAGCGTCGTGTAGGGA